CTGGAAGTATTTAAGAGACGTGTTGATGAGGTGCTTAGGGACATGGTTTAGTGGGCATGGTGGTGTTGGGTTGACAGTTGGACTCGATGATCTTAGAGGTCTTTTCCAACCTTAATGATTCTATGATTCTATGATTCATGGGCAGTGAGCAAGGGGATAGCAAGGGAAATACAGGTAAACTTTGCTCAGTGAGAAAAAAAAAACAATGACCTTAAGTTGTACTGGAAGCCTTCTAAACATAATTCCATGAACACAAGTTGTCTGTCTATCTATCTATATCCCTATACTTCCTGAAGGGCATTTTGCTTGCTTAGAACTATGGTTTTTGTGTTATGATTCATACCATCAGTGATACTCGTATGATACATCCCTTACACTAACTTACCTCTTAGCTTTATCTAGGCAAGTGGACAAAACTCTACTTAATCTACAACATTCAGGTAACTAAGTTATAAACATCAACCTTTTCCTTACCTGCTGCATGCAATCCTAGTGTCAGGTACATCGCAGGGGGAAGGACACAACTGCAATCAGGGAAATGTAAGACCTTGCTATACTGCACACGTTGCCCCATTGCTATGCAGTGCTGCAGCTTTTCTCCCATGGTAGGAGTCAAATCACCAAATGAGCTGTGCTTAGCATGTCCTCCTCATGACAGGCACCAAGGCTCGGTGCCGCCAGTACACGAAATACAGCTTCTCAGAACCTGCATTGTGGGGGACGCTAAAGAAATCTCATGCATGAGAAGGATGTGTGGCAGCAGCTTATATGGTCGTGTAATAGGTGTTGCCAAGATCTTTGTTTAATATATTTTTTCAGGGGCACATTAGCAAATAGATTCATATATTCCAAGTTCAATGAAAAAATGCAGTTGAGGAAAAAGTATCTGCAGGATTATTCCACAGAAAAAGTATTGGTGGCTCCTCTCTCCAGTACCAGGGCAGAGACAGAAAATGATAAAGGGTAATGATCCTCCCCCTACAGCAAAAGATTGGAAGACATGGCTAGACCATTTCTTCCTTCCAGGACCTTGCTAATCAATTTCTGACACTTTTAAGGTTTGATTAAGAAAGTAAATATAAGGTAAAATAAAAGTGTCCTTTTTCGCATCTTCCTATGTTTTGCTCTGTAGATTACCTTTTAAGCATGATCCTTCCTTTCTCCTGGTGATCTACACAGTACAGTAGAAATGGAAGGGGGATGTAGGATCAGTCAGCAGGCAGAGAGGGCAAAAAGATACCTAATGCACACTAATGCCCCCTCCTTTTCCTTCTATTTCAGCTTAAAAGGAAGGCTAGCGTCTTCAACATAATTGAAAATTGAATTATTATGACCAAAGATTAAAATATTTTGCACAAATTTGAACTTCATCTCTTATGTACGAACTTTGAATACAGACAGGCATAAGCAGCTGCCAGACATTTTCAGAAATTGCTGAATCAACCACCTTCACCATGAAAAAGTTTCTTCCTATCTTTAAATAGAATTTCCTGTATTTCAATTTGTGTCTATTGCCTCTAGTCTAGTCACTGAATACCACTGAGAAAAGGCTGTCTCTGTCTTCTTTAATGTCTCCCATCAGGTATTTATACACACTGATATCCGGAACATGAGGGTTAGACAAGATGACCTCCAGACGCCCCTTCCAACCTCAAACATTCTGTGATTGTGTGATTCCGAGATCCAGATAAAGGGGCTCAGGAAGAAGTCCCAGCTCTCTCAGACTTTCCTCTTAGGGGAGATGTTCTTGGGCATGCTCAAAAGTTGGGATGAATTTCTGGGGCTTGTGGAAATGTGTGAGGCTCATGCCGGGGTTTCTGGGGGAAGGCTCAAAAGTGGGAGACTGGGATGAGTGTTCCAGCCTTCTGATCATTTTTGTGGCCCCCCCTCTGGACCACCGCTAACAGGTCCATGTCTTTCTTGTACTGTGGACCCCAGAGCTGGATGCAGCGCTCCAGGTGGGGTCTCACGACAGCGGAGTAGAGGGGCAGAATCACCTCCCTAGACCTTCTGGCCATGCTTCTTCTGCAGCCCAGGATACGATTGGCTCATATCCAATTCTTTATCCACCAGTATCCTCTGAGTCCTTCTCTGCAGGGCTCCTCTCAATCCATTCACCACCCAGTACATACTGATATTGGGGATTGCCCTGACCTTGGTGCACGACCTTAGACTTCGCCTTCCTGAACTTCATAACATTCCCATGGACCCAATCCCTAAGCCTTTCTAGGTCCTTCTGGATGGTATCTTTTCCCTTTAGCTTATCAGCTGCACCACGCATCTTGGTGTCATCTGCAAACTTGCTGAGGATGCACTCAACACCACTGTCAATGTCATTGATGAAAATATTAAATAGTATAGGTCCCAGTACGGATCCCTGAGGGACACCACTCGTTACTGGCTTCCACTTGGACATTGAGCCATTGACTGCAACTCCTTGGATGTGGACATCCAGCCAATTCCTTATCCATCTAACAGTCCATCCATCAAATCAGTATCTCCCCAATTTAGAGACAAGAATGTTGTGGGGGATGGTAGCAAAGGCCTTACAGAAGTCCAGGTAGATGACATCAGTAGCTCTTCTGTGGTCCACTAATGCACTTACTCTACTTACATTGTAGAAGGCTGCTAGATCTTCCTGTGGCCTTGGGCAGGGGGGCAAGGGAGGTGTTAACCTCAGATTTCTCAGGTCCCATGCTGAGAGGCTAGTGCCTCTGAGCCCAGGGCCCGGCAATAGGCAGCCCAGTAATGCAGGCAGGGAACCCTGGTGACCTCCTTAGTGCCAGTGGAGTGCCCTGACTGGGCTGCTCCAAGGGCTGTCAGGGAAGAAGGACTCGCCCCTTGTCTGCCACGGGTGTCGTGGTTTAACCTCAGTTGGCAACTAAGCACCACGCAGCCGCTTG